GTTTAACCTAATACATTTGAATTAAGAGGAATAAAAGAAAGAGGAAGGCAGGGAAAATTTTTGAAGGGAGGGAAGGGGAAGTTCCTTACTTTATTTTTGTTTATTTATTTATTTGTCTAAATGAAAGAAGCCCTTTGTTCCTCTATTTTCCTCTTCTCTACTCTCCTTTCCTCTATTCCCTTCAATCTAAACATAAAATTAATCAAATTGAAGAGAGATGTGTTTCATTGTGCCCACAAACAAACAAGAATTTATTTATGATTTACTAACTCTTTCATTTTTTTTTTCTTGTTATCATTTATCTAAAGTTCATGTATGTATAATGATTATGAAAATAAAAGTGATCACTTTTAGTGTGCTAGGTACCTTGAACCTATTTGGCCACGCTTGAGTCATCCTACAACTTAGTTTCGAAGATTTATAATACACTTAATTAAATTAAGAATTATAAATAAATTATTAATTTATATGATACAAATATGTTTATGTAAAATTTTTTCCAAAATTCACACATGAATGTGTCAATTTTGATGGATTCCCCTCTCACTACTTTTTTTCTCGTAAAAAACTAAGATATTCAATCAACAATTCAATAGATCTTCTATAGATGGAGTTTATATAATTAAACTAAAATTATATTAACATGTTGTATGGCACTCTTTTGGGATTTTAATCTTTTGACAAATTAAATCCAAATAATTTAGGATTGTTATCAAAATTCATCAATTGATAACTAGTTCGTCCAAGAAACTACTAATAAAGTTGTGATCTCTCAAACTGCAATATTTGTATAATGGTTCTCCATCAACTAATTTTTTATATAAAATTTTAATTTTCTAGAACTGGGTTTAAAAACTCTTCTAAATTGATTGTTTAGATTTTTTGTCTAGCATAAAAGAGACATAAACTTAAATATTTTTTTTTACAATAAGAGTGATAATTTCCTATTAAATGACTATAAATCTCCATGTGCTTATTTTATAATCCAATATATTCGTATATATCTTATTTATTAGATATTGTTGGTTGACAATATCAAAATTAAATAACTTTTACACAAGATTAAATTACATCTTCACATCTAAAGACTTTTACTAAATTGTGGATAAGAATATCCTTTATATATATATATATATATAGTAATTAGTTTAAAGTTATTCTATATTAGTCTGGTTCAGTATTTTTTTTATACAAATACTTGTTACCAAAAAGTCTCCACTTTAGTGATTGATACCATCCAGTCTCCACTTTAGTGATTGATACCATCCCATCACATATAGATATGGTA